GAACCCAGTTTTCAAGTTAAATCCTAGTTTCATCCCCGGTAGGAGAGTGTCCGTTGGATGATCAAAACTTTGCCATAAATCCCCCTTCACAGATCCATCTGAATTCAGTTGCTGCAGTAAAAAGTTGCCATCGTCCTGTAGGGTGGCACGAGCCTGAATTGAAGCTCTAGTTGAACACAAGGCAATGATCTCCTTCTCACCAGATAAAATCTGCAGGCATCCATTGCGGTTGACAGAGAGAATTCCAGAACGATTGAAGATTGGGTTGTTTGGATTTCCAATCCACACTGGGAATTGGACAATTGGAGTGTTGCCTTCATTTTGATACCATCCGCTATCCTTATACCATATTCCTAAGAAAGATTTATCTTCATAGCTGGAAAGCTGGAGGAATCCTAACCGGAAGATACCATTAGATGATCTCAGCAGCTCCCCATGTCTGAGCTGTTTGCCTTGCTCTAAAGTGTTAGTCTCAGAACAAGCAAGAATCATCAAACATGAAAGACAAAGAAGCACGAGTGCTCTGCATCTGCTACCCATTGTTCCCCAACTTGTAGAGCAGAACTATGTTCATTCACAATGAGAAGATTGAATCTTTAAACTAGCTAGCATTCCGCATGGGGCTGCGGCCTTGATTAGTCGAGGCTTGCTTGCTTCTTCTGCAATGTGATAGTGTGGGATTGAAAGTTCAGACTTTCAAATTTAGAAACTGAACAATCAAGAGTCCTTCCAAAATTAAATTTTTTATAGCGACAAAAGAAAGAAGAAAAAAGTAGTTTCTCTACTTTTGCATTCAGAGGTACAAAAGCCAAAGCGTCTAACCGAAGTTTCAATCTTGCCATGGAACTGCAATCGCATCTTTGACTAGTAGCAGAAAAAGGGGATTTCGATCTGTTTTCAGAATCATCCTTGAAGATGCCAACCATGCAATAATGGTTAGGATAAAAAATTCAACACGACAAATTACTAAATATTTATTTATTTAAAAATAAAAAATAATAATTTTTTTTTTATTTTGATTGCACAATGAAAAGTAATTCACATATTTTATCTTATCATATACAACTTAAACTCAGAACTTCTTACTTTTAGTGAAATGAGATGCCTACTTAATTATTTAGATAATTAACAATATATTTTTCCATTTTAAAAAGACAAATAAAGTAATTAACTGACCAAGTTATTGAGACTGAGGCTCTTCTCTATTTTTATAATTAAGAATCCTTATTTATCTTTCTTATTTCTCTCCAGTGAGTATATCAAACCAATTAGCCTATCATAATCAGGCTTATTCGAATCCTCATTCCTCTTCTCTTTCCTCTCTCATGAGTATTTTCAAACCAACTGGCCTTTC